TGAGGTTGCGGACAAAGCGATGGAAGCGTTTGAAGAAGTTGATAAAGACATAAGGGAGTTTCAACAAGTGATGACTGCCAGCGGAAGTTTCTAAAAGCCTTTCCCAGTACCCTACTTTGTATTTTGTTTACCCGGGTTATGCGAAATTTTTGATTTGGGATTTTTATATGGGATTTTTTCTTTCTTGTGTTTCTATATCTTCATTTCGTTTACTGTACTTGGTCGTTATAACTTCTAGAGTGTGGTAGAGTTGGTTTGCGACTTCTTTTATCTTTATTCTTTTCCTTATTATTTGAAATCCCTATGCTCTCAATGCTACTGCAAGTAGCGAATAACGAAATGAGTAGGGAGGAAACTTGTGTGCAGGACGCAGGGATCAGAATTGGATGAAAGAATAATTTAGTAATTTTTGACATGCTCTATTTTGCTTGTACGATCACGACTCTATGTTTTCATACTTCAACTCCTCAGACCTTACTTTGCCTTACTTTTTTTTTTTTTTTATGCGCATGTTTGGTGTCCTTTTTCTTTTTCTTTCTTTTTGTGTTGGAATCAATGGTATGTGCGTTGGTGGGAGGGCCGTGTTTTCTCTTATAATACTTTCACTCGTGTCTTTATTTTCAATTGAACGAACGCTTTAGGCGTGCTATCGATTCGCGCGCGAAATTCGATTCACCGAGAAGGAAAAAAAAAAGGAAAAAAAAAAATCTATACGATTACTTGTAAGTAAGGGCAAGCGAGGATTATTCTTTGTACATAGAGTATACCCCCCTGCTGAGGTACTGTAGGTTTATGTACATACATAAGTACATATGTATATATTGTAGCGAAGTGGTTCAATAAGATCCAGGATCGCAACAAAGACCATATGTACACATACATAGTACTGGAGCTAGAGGAAAGAAGGGGAGAAAAGCAAGCAGCAAAAATATGCACCACTTATATCGAGGACACGAACGAGCCCAGCCCATGAGTATAGCAATCCTCTCGGAGGGAAATCAGCTGGAGTGGCCGGCATGCACGTTGGCGTGTTTTAAATAACCCACGGCGACTGCTGGTGCGAGGATTTTGCCGACCTTATGGGCGAGTAGGAGTCTACACACGATAGCCGGGTTTACTATCGCAAGTTTAGGCCGTCGTGAAGAATCTTGTAGAGTGGGTGTATATACCAATACCAAAAAATCGGTGAAATGACTATCACATCCGGATAGATCTAGATGCCGCTGGACAGTGGTACGTATTCCAGCTAAAATGTGGTATTTTATATAACCAAAGTTTCTTTACTACACGTAGCGGGTAGGGCTGAAGAGTGATGTACTGATGCTAATGTAGAGGCGTATATTGGCCGGCGCCGGTGCAGTAAAACTTTGCTATTAAACATCCCCTCCCCCTTCAGCCACCTAGTCGGGTTTTTGTTATTTAGACATAACTTTCTACAAAGATCATTGTAGAGAAATCACCAGCTTTTGGATATCGTTTGAGGTTCCAACTGTTGCTCATGTTGTGGTTTTGGTAATGTCTGTTGTCTCATGTTGAGTGGGTCAACAACATTATGTTGAGTGGCCGCTTCGAGTGACATTCTGTGCTGTGGCTCTTTCGTAATGAGCCACCACCACCGCCACACAATGCAACCCAACCCCAACCAAGCCAAAACAGAGCTTCCCCCACCATCATCTATCACCATAGTTCCAAACTCGCTACAGATACAGCTATGGCCTCAAGTAACATCCACGCATTTTTCGCCCAGCGAAGAGCCGACAACTCTCTCGTCGTTCCCGGTTTGTACTAGCTGTCTTTGAATGTTGCACGGGCTTTAATAAAAACTGACCTGTTTCAACCCCGCCAGATCCTCCAAAGTTCGACCTCGAAAGCTACATCTCAAACTATACCGGTACGGTGTTTGTTCACCTCATATCTGTGGACTGCGACTAACATCTCTGGTGCTGTAGGGCGAACCCAGATTGAGAGACTCCTTCATATCGGACTACATTCCCCACCGCTATGCGTCGAAGCTCTGAAACTAGCCATCAAGGCGCTGAAGCAGACGTCGGATGTGCCACGCTATAAACTCGTAATCGAACAGCTCAATAAGCTAGCTCCCGATGACCCAGAAGCTGTGATGGATGAGGAGTGGGTTGAGAAGACAAGCAGACGGGTTGCAAACAGTACCGAGAAGATTGAAGCAGACTTGAAGAGCTATAAACACAACCTTATCAAAGAGAGCATCAGAGTAAGACCCATTGATCCAGCTGGGGGAAACCGGTAAGGTGACGGCTAACCGATCTTTCACGGCGTAGATGGGTCACGAGGATCTCGGCAATCACTATTATGCATCCGGGGATCTCGTCAACGCTTTCAAGTCATACTCCCGCATGCGGGACTTCTGCACTGCGCCCAAACACATCCTCGATATGTCCCTCCAGATTATCCGCGTCTGCATTGAACAGGGGAATTACATGTCTGTCCAGTCTCACATTGTCAAGATCCGCAGTCTTTCCCGCTCCGCCGAGGAGGAGGAGGCCCTGAAACCGAAGCTGTGCGTCGCTATGGGCCTCACGCAGCTTGCCTCAGGGGCTTTCAAAGAGGCGGCAAAGAGCTTTCTAGAGACTCCGCCGACCCTTGGAGCAACATATAATGATGTCATCTCTTCCAATGACGTTGCGGTCTACGGTGGGCTCTGTGCGCTCGCCAGTATGGAGAGGTCGCAGCTCAAGAAGGAGGTGCTCGATAACAACGACTTCCGAAACTTCTTGGAGCTGGAGCCGCAGATGAGGAGAGCCATCGCGTACTTTTATACGGCGAAATACTCGAATTGCTTGAAGATTCTCGAGGAGTACCGGAATGATTATTACCTCGACGTACATTTGGTGAAGCATGTGAATAAGCTGTTTGAGATGATTAGAAGCAAGGGAATCGTGCAGTACTTTATCCCGTTTTCGTGTGTGTCGTTGAAGAGTATGGCGGAGGCATTTGCGACGAACGAGAAAACGCTGGAGAAGGAGCTGGTGGGGATGATTGGGAAAGGGGTTTTGAACGCGAGAATAGATACAAAGAATAGGGTATGCTTGTCCTATACGGCTTCTTTGATAAAGTCCCTAGTCTCGCTATTTAGTTGTGGTTAAGCTTACCATATTTGAATTCCAGCTTCTCACCGCAAAGGAAACCAACCTCCGCACAGCAGTCCACCGGGATACTCTAGCGATGGCGCAAAACTACGAGCGCACCGCCAGAATGAGGCTGATGAGGATGAACATCCTCCGTGCAGGTCTGGAGGTCCGGGGCCCCAAGGGGGGACAAGGCCATCCTTCTGGGCCCGCCCAGGGCCAGGGATGGATTGGCCATGCTGGGAGGGCTCAGGGGTTTATGGAGAGGTTCCACCACATGGGTTCTTGAGCAAATGATTCACAAATATTCACTTTTATATCTCTTCCTTTTCTTTCGGGTCTTATTGTTATTGATGGCAAAGATGGGGCGGTTGAGGGTCGTTCGTTTTCGTTTGAGAGTAAAATTCCTAAAATTAAAACAAGAATCGGGGACATTACTGCAATGTGGCTATATGTACTTAGCTACATGTAATCAGTAGGCAGGAGAAGGTTTATGAATTCGGGCATCTCAATGAATAGAATAATCGGGTAAAGCGGCGTTCTGGATCATGAATGGTCACTCAGCGCACGAAAGCTGCCTGTTGAGGTATATGTAGGTAGTGGAATAACAACGGGCTTCTTGGTCGTGCTCAAGTAGTGATGGCCACGAGACAAGACAAGACCAGATTGACAGTTGTTTCGTCTCGTATCCTGTTGGTGAGTGATAGGTCTCGGGAGTCTCGAGATGTCTCGAGAGTACCGCGAGATAATTGTGGTCTCGTATTCAATAGCACTAAACGGCTTCAATTGAGAGAATATTTGAATTTAGACTGAAGTATAATCACGTGATCCATAAAGTTCAAGATTTTGGAGAATGGATCACCCAATATTGGATCTGTAGGGACTAAATAAGTAGCGGCAAAGTCTTGCATTATATCTCGAGACCAACCTCAGACTCGTCTCGAGATATTTGTCCTTCCATAATCGCTGTATTGCCAGGTCTTGTAGGCAAGTCTCGAGACAAGAGCTCGGGACGCCTTGTCTCGTGGCCATCACTATGCTCAAGGCTGCGGATCAAAAAAAAAAAAAACACTGTTCATATCCCGGTAGAGTGATATCATGAAATCAACCACTTAGATACCTAGCTAGCCCCAAATCGTGTCCCCAAGGTATCCATTTCCTGGGGCATCAAAGTTGAAATCGCCCAAACAATATAGTCTGTCCAGCTCTAGTATCAAGGGTCTTTTCTGAGCTCTTTCGTTAACTGTTCGCAGTGGTTGTTGTTGTTGTTGTTGTTGTTGTTGTTGTCTTGGCGACCGAGTGATCGGGGGTTGAAGCAGGAGGCGGCTTCCATGACGTACTGATCACTGAGATGATTCAACACTCCAATCATTTCTGTGTCAATAGTTCTCCTGGAATTAAATCATCGGCTCGCACGGTAAGTGATGGAGTTAATTCGCCTCAGCCACTAGTACCTGCAGGCCAGGCTATGTAAAGTAGTTACAATTCCCCCCCCCGCCCGGGATTGAGGTAGATACATGTAGCTACATGTATGCTAGTAGCTGAGCATGTAGGCCCCATCATGGGATATAGCTCGACACCCGAGTGATGGCAGATCGACGGATAAACCGGTAATTAGAGTAGTACTGTCCGGGGGCGACGCTCTGTGTCCTGGTTTGGGTAGATTTGCAGATCCTCGAGAGCGGGCCAGGGATTGTCATTGTTTATGCAGGGCGCACCGGCCTCTTTTTCCACTTTCGGCATATGACTCGATGATACATATGAGTCTATCGATAAGCTACTAGTCATTGCACCAACCCGGCAATCCTATATAAATCACGTCTCTCCAACTTAAACCCAAGTCCCCATAGAGTACATCCAGATATAGACAACACAAAAAAAACACACACACACACAATGCCGCCGCCCCCCCCCCAACCCGCAACGCTCCCAACCCTCCCGCACGACCTCCTCCGCCTGCTCACGGCGCACCTACCCACAGCCTCCTCCCTCGCCGCGCTCTCGCTCACCTGCCGCTCCCTCCACGCCTTCATCGCGCTCGAGGGCTGGCGCGTCTTCGTGCGCACGCGCTTCCCGGCGTTCCCGGCCGCCGCGGGAACACCGGCGCAGTGGCGCGCGTGGGCGAGGCAGCAGACGACGGTGGAGCGCAACTGGCGGCGGCGCGGGTTTGTGGCGGCGGTATTGGAGGTGCAGTTATCCAGCGGTGGTGGTGGTGGTGGTGGTGGTGGTGGTGGTGGTGGAGGAGGTGGTGGGCGACGTGGCGGTAGAGGCGGCGGTGGTGCTGGAGGCAGATGGGCGCCGAAAGGGCGGCAGACGCTCGGCTACGTGCCGGTGCTGGATCTGAGCGAGGCGTATGGCGGCGCGGGTGGCGGCGAGGAAGAGACGCTGGTGGTTGGCGCGGGGCCAGACATTGTGGTGCGGCGACGAAGTGCGGGGAAGCGCGGTGTGCGGTGGTGGGGGTTTGGGGACCGGAACGAGCGGGCGGGGCGGGACGACGTGACGGCGCTGCGGCTGCTGGAGGGATCGGGGTCGGGGTCGGGCGGGGAGACGGCGGTGGTGGGGCGGGCGAATGGGCGGCTGGAGGTTGTGGGGCTGGGGACCGCGGGGAGGCAGCCGGGGTGCGTGGGGCGGGCGGAGGTGCTGGCGAGGTGCGAGACGGGCGGGGGGCAGGTGAAGGATGTGGCTGTGCTCGGCAGCAGCAGCAGCAGCAGCAGCAGCGGGGCAGCGGGGCTCGTGTGTGCAGTCCTCGGCTCCTCGAGTGTTGCGCTGTACCCGCTCTGCGACCCGCCAGAGGAGACGCAGACAGAGCCCGTCGAGGCGGTGTCGAGCATCGCGTTGGCCGACGTCGTCGGCGGCGGCGGCGGCATCCCGTGGAAGACGGCGTTCCTGTCGCCGGCGCTCGTGGCGCTGGGCACGACGGGCGCGCAGCCGCTGTCGGTGTTTGCGCTTGGGCGCGAGGGCTTCCGGGCTCAGCCTGTGCGCGCGTTCTCGGCCGCGGCGTGCGCGGGCGTCGATGCGCTCGGCGTGTATGCGCTTGCGCCCATCGGGGGCGGGGGCGGGGGCGGGAATGTGCTGCTTGCGGGGTGGTATGACGGCGTGTCACGGTTTGGAGTCCCCCCATTCTTTTCCTTTCTTATATCCATATTCTACTATAGCCCGCATTGGCATAATAAATAGTGATGATAATAACAAAAACAAAAAGACTCCACGACCTCCGCACCCCCGCCCCCTCCGTGGCAGAATACAAAGACCCCATCGACGCCCAAACCCCCATCTACGCGCTGCACCCCCTCGGCCACACGCGCTTCCTCGCGGCCGGCGCCCGCCACTGCATCCTCAAGATCTTTGACCTGCGCGTGCCCACCTCACACAGCAGCGGTGGCGGTGGCGGTGGCGGTGGGTGGGCAACATATCTTGCGCCGCCCGCGCGCTACCGCGCCCACGGCATGGGGGCGGGAGGGTCGGCGGCGTGGGAGAGCCCGCTGTATTCGCTTGCCGTGGCGGCGGGCGGGAGGAGCGTGTATGCGGGGGCGCAGGGGAGGGTGTGGGAGTTGGATTTCTTGGGTGCTGGTGCTGGTGCTGGTGGTGGGGGTGGGGGGCAGAGGAGGGATGTGGGTACGCGGTTGGGCATGTATGAGTTTGGTGGGAGGGGGGCGGTGTATCACCAGGGCCCTGAGACGGAGATGGGGAGGGCGGGGGCAGAGGGGGGGAGGTTGGATGGGCGGTGGAGGGCGGTGTAGATGGTATAGAGATGAGGGCTGTGGATTAGAAGGTGTGTGCGGGGGGGGGGGGGCTCTGTGGGGTGTAGCTTGAGGGCCGGTTTTTACATGTACTTTTTTCTTTGGCATTTAGATGTAGTAGCTCTGTTGGTATTTAGATAGAATAGATCTTGTCCTAGAGGTGGGCTGTCTTTCGTTCTGGCTCAACTCAAGCTTGAAAATGCCAAGATATACAGGCGAGTGATATCCCATGATCCTACGCGGAGCTCACAGTCACCTCTGTGGATGCGGCATAAGCTGATTTTGCTAGAATTTTAATCTGCGTTGAAGCGAGAAACTGTACATTCGGGTGTAGCCGTCTCTAGTGCTTCCTGTTTGTAGAGTAGAGTGGTGTGGTGTGGTGGAAGGGTAGATATAGTTAGTGTGTCCCGGTAAAAATAGATGAGAGTTGCACGTTGAACTATAACTGGGCGGGAGGAAGCGGGAACTACCACGCAGTACATACACGCAGCGACCCGGCAACACACGCAGACTCCCGGATATCATTCACAAAGCTTAAACTAACACACACTCCCAACAGAACCTACAATGTATCTACATAACCCCCTCCCTCCCCCCCCCCCCCCCACTACGACGAAAACTCCAAAACAACAATACTCGCCTTCGGCACCTCCCACGCCCACTCGCTCGCGCTCGCCTCTACCTCATCCAACTCCAGCGCCCGCGGTGAAATCGCAGTCTGGTTGCTGATGTAGTTGAAGCCGTTGCGCACCTCGTGCGTCAGGATCGTGCCGTTGACGCCCGTGACGGCGCGGTCGAACTCGAGCGTTAGTGGCACGGCGGAGTTGGCGGCGTTGACGAGCTGTTGTTGTTGTTGCGTTAGCTTTTGTACTCGTGAAGGGGGGCGGGGGAAGGGAGGGGGAGAGTTACCTTGACGTATATCACGTCGCGCCCGCCGTCATGCTGCGCCGCCCACCAGAGGGGGTTGAAGGTTCCCGATACGGGCGTGATGGGGAGGGTCTCGGTGCCGCGGTGGTGCGAGAAGAGTTTTTGTTGGTAGTAGCTGGCGGAGAGGGTGGTTTGGTTGGGGTTGGCGGAGAAGCTGATCAGGTCGGGCTGTCAAGGTGCGTTAGAAAAAAAAGGCCAGTTTTGAGGGGGAGGGGGGGAGGTTACCGTCCATTGGTAGGAGTTGTAGTTCTGGAAGAGGGGCGCGTAGGAGGAGAGTTTGACGGTGTTGGGGTTGCGCTCCATGCCGATGCCGAATATCTTGACAAGCTGTGTGTTAGCTCCAGGTCGGAATACTAGGTCAGGTATCACTTACGGCTTCGCCGATGGCGGCATCGAGGGTGGGGTAGACGATTCGCCCGGGGCCGGACCATTGTACGCTGCCAGAGGAGCTGTCGACGGAGAGGACAGAGTATTCGCCGACGACTGGAGACGATGGAGGGTTAGTTAACTTGGAGGTGACGTGAAAGGGAGTACATCAGGACTTACAGATCGTCACGTTCTGGTACGAGCTAACGCCAAAGTTGTCGTAGAGGCCGAACTGTAGTTTGCGGGTTAGGAACCTCTCACTAACATCTCAGGGTGCAGCTAGATACTTGCGTTGTTTTTATAAAACTGCGGAGTCTGGTAGTAATGAGGATCCCCTAACATATGAACAACCCGACATCAGCATGCTGTACTCAGCTACATCACGAAATGGCCTCAACTCACACATCTCCCCCGCCGGGATCTCCATCTTCGGCGTGATATCCGGGCCCGCCGTAGCAATGAACGTAATGTCCGGATACTTTGCCTTGAGCTGCTCGTAATACATCGGGAACCTCCAATTATAACTCCCCCCCGAGAACTGGTCCTCATTGCCAATCTCGACCAGCTCCAATTTATAGGGTTCAGCACGCCCATGCGATGCCCGTAATGCGCCCATGGGCGTGCTGGAATCCCCGAGGATGTACTCGAGCTCGTCGAGCACCTCGTCGATGAAGGGCTGGATGTGCTCGCGGGGCACCGTAGAGGCCGGATTACGCCCGTTGGGCGCGAGCGTGTAGCCGGCGTAGACGGTGAGGAGGGGCTGCATCTCCATGTCTTCGCAGAAGTCAAAGTACTCGAGCAGGCCGAGACTAAGGGGCTCTCTACCATCAGTAACTGTAGCACTGCCGGGGACATTTGTGTGTGTGTTTCTTTTTTTTGCTCACCCGTTGGTGTTGAAGTACTCCCACTGCCCGACACGGCCCTTGCGGTAGCGTAGGTCGCCGATTGTCTCGTTCCACTTCCAGCGGGTTTGGATTGAGAAGCCCTTTCAAAGCCATATCAGTACCGCGGTTTACAGGCTTCTAAAAGAACGGCGAGAAAACCAACCTCCAAGTTATTCCCCCCTGGGAATCTCAAAAACTTTGGATCCAACCCCTTCAGCGCCTCCGCCAGATCCTTCCTAATGCCATTCGGCCGATCCTTAAACGTCGGCGGGAATAGCGAGACCAGCGAGAAGTAGAACGTCTGCCCCTTGACCTCGGCCGCATCCATCGTGATCGCAAACGAGTTATTGATACTCGGGGCCGCGACCTCCGGCGCCAGGGTGGCCTCCAGCTTGGTGTAGTCGAACGTGTCCAGCTTGCCCGTGACGGGGATCTCGGTGGTGGTCCACACTTCGTCTGTGAGGTTGGAGCGCAGCGAGAGCTTGAAGGCGCTGAGGGCGCCGCTGTAGTACTGCTCCCAGGGCTTGACGTAGAAGGAGGCGGCGTACTTCTGCGGACGTACGTCCATGCCCCAGTAGCCTGTGGGTTCGTCAGTATCACTTAATTCAGCTTAGGAGTGTATGTATGTAGTTACCTTCGTTCATGAACCCGACTTCGCCAGTGGCGCTGCTCCCGACATCTACCCTCAAGACCGCCGGTAGTGCGTCTGAGAGGGGGTTCAGGAGATCGATGGAGAGCTTGACATCCCCAATTGCACGCCAGGCGTCCAGGTTTGGGCCGTACGGGATATCTGCTTCCTGGGTCCCATACGGATACGGGGTTGACCCGCTGTTGAGGAGCTTCACCCCAGAGCCTACATTACACCTCGCCGTATTAATAGACAAGCACTTGAAATTAGGAGTGATAAAACATAGGTTTTATGGTTATACCTTGGAAAGCCCTGTTGCGGATCAACTCGGCATAGATTCCACCGTCACCAGAGTGCTTTTTTTTTGCACGCGTTAGAAGAACAACGTAGTTGCAATCAACGGGGGAGCAAGCTCACATTGATGTCCTCAAAGAACAGCCCATAGAGGTTCGGCGCGGTCTTGTTCCTGGCTGCGGTGTCTTCGGTGTTGATCTTGAGGTGGACTGGCGTCACGGTCTGGCTTAATGCTGGCGCAGCGACGAGTGCGAGTAGCGCAACTAATTGATGCAAGTACATATTTTCAATTGCGTCTTGTTTGACGAGGCACGACTGTCTCTCTCTCTCTCTCGCTCTACTTGAGTGCCTCCGCTCCTTTTTAAACCTTAATTTCTGGGGCCATTTTTGTTTTGCGGGGTAGAGTACATAGCTGTGGGGAGAGCTCGAGAGAGAGAGCGCGGATAAATCTACAAGTAGAGTACCAAGACCGTGGAGTTACAGCTGGAATCCGGCTGATCATGGCCGGACCGAGGGGAGGAGTAGTAGGAGGAGGAAGAGGTGGAGCTTTGGAAAACTCTATATCAATTCAGATGCCTGCTGTGACGTACGTTCTTGTGCGGTGGAGATCCTTTTGCTTGTCCCGGTACGGCGTGGGCTTTAAGGTACCTGGATGTGTAGGGTACCTATAGTATCACATGTAGGTGGTAGGTGTATAGATACTATAGCTGTGTACCTGCCGAAGCAGAGGATGTATGTAGATCCTGTCAGGGCAGGGTTTTGGTATTAGCCATGGCCTATAACCGGGCGCGCTCGCTTTAGTAGGGGCCGATTCGGGGCGAATTTCTGCGTGTTACGAGGTGGGTAGATGGCTGGGCTCGTGCAATATGGGGTTTATGGAGTGGGTAGAGTAGGAAGAGTAGGTGCTCTGGAGGATCAGGTGGAGGGTGCACGATAGGAGGTGGGATAGTGGGGTCTTGCTTGTCGGCTTTCGTGGTTAAATGAGTAGATATCTACACTTAAATGGTTAGCCCGGTCTTGGAAATTTATTAGTAGTTCGTCGAAAATGGATTTAACTATTTTGTGTACAGAACCACTAGTTAATCTATGATTTAGAAAGCAATGTCACCAGCCCGGTGGCCGCTTTCTGGGTTCTTGATAGTAGGAGGTGTATCGATAGTAACTAGCGCACATAGAGTCCTAATGTTCTGTAGTAATAATAAGACTGAAACTTGGTGCGAAGACTCCGAGTGATATTTCAAGATTGCGTTGTACTAGTAATTAACAACACGCGACTATACGGTAGCACGACATACAAGGGCATCGGACGGAAGCTAATGCCTTCGAAAGCTTGTAATGGAGACAAAAAGCGGTAGTGTATGTAGCTACATACTACAAGTACGTACCTAATCAATTACGCATCCATGTAGTATACTTGCTACTCCTTACTTCGCCCCATAGGGCCGTTTTATTATCTGCTTGTAAACCTAGATCTAGTTAGATAGACCAGCTATGTAATGTATAAATGAAGATAAGAAATTGATTGAACTCGACGAGAGAGCGAACGGTCAAAATGTTCAGCAGCACAGCTGTCAGATACCTAGCACGTAGAGTATGCAGAGTAGGTACTCTATGTGCATAAGCTGACAAGTAAAAAGCAGTGTAACACAAGGCTATCGTGGCGGAGGTCTCTACCACATCACGTCCAACCAAACTTCAGAGTATACACACACGCGCGTAGCTACCCCGCTACCTGATAGAAGTCCTCCCAACCGCTACTCATTCTATCGCCGAAACTCAAATCACCTAAATCGGATTTCGACGATTCAACAAATATCGACTAGCCATGGTAAATGCTGATCAAACATAGTTGAAATTTTAAAAGAATGTGCAACTAATTGAATATATGGAAAATCTAGGCTAATCGTAGGAATGGCACCCCTACGCTTCTCCGGGAACTCTATAACCCCCCGGGTACAGAACCTACGGTCGAGTCAGATAGCTTTCCCCCCCAATTGAAAAATCCATGTATCCAATCCTCCGCTAATTACATGTGCTTGATTTATAGTATCGTTTTTGTCCATGGCCTTAATCCTCTTAACACCCAAGATTTTGCCGAGAAAACATGGACGCATGCAAATGGAGCCCTATGGCCCAGAGATATATTGCCTTCAAACGTCCCAGAATGTCGTATTCTACTCTTCGGTTATAACTCGAACGTCGCATTTGATGTCTCTAACCAAGGAATCAAAGATCATGCCAACACCCTCTTGGATAGGCTCGGCAGGAATCGAAAGGTGACAGAGGTAAATTCACTTTTGATAAAACGCCATAATAAGAAATCGGCATTGGAAAAAGGGGGTCAAAGAGATTTTCTTTTGGCCAAATTCGCTGAATATCGATAGAATTCGAAGACTCGACCTATTATCTTTGTTGGGCACAGCCTCGGCGGTTTAGTAATAAAGCAGGTTTGGCACCACTCATGTAGATGTATAACTAGATGTACCGTAGGAATATACTAAGATTTAGGCACTGATTAACGCAACAAACAACTATGAGGAGTATGGGGTTATCAAAGAAGCTACTCGAGGCCTGGTTTTCTTTGGTACGCCTCATCGAGGCGGAAACGGGGCTTCACTAGGCCAGGTCGCTGCCAATATCATCACAGCCGTTTCTGGAGCAGATCGAAATGACATACTCAGATCTTTGAGCAGTGACTCTATTCTTACGAAAAACTCTAATGACGATTTTAGACACCAATCTGAAAGATATCGTGTTTTAACTTTTTACGAAACGAGGAAGACAAAGGTCGATAGATGGCTTAGCGGAATTTTTGGTTGTGTTTTCAATGCGGTAATGACTTTACGACCCGAGGGTAATTATAGCTACTAAGTAATTAAAATATTATAGATAGTAGTAGACGCAGATTCTGCAAAACTCGGGTTAGCGGGCGCTCGCGAGAACCAACTACCGATAGATGCGGACCACTCAGGGATATGTAAATTTGAGTCTGCAGATGATAGATACGAACCTGTTGGCGGCTTAATTGAGCAGCTGGTAGAGCGTATACTTGAAGACAAGACAGAGCCGGAAGAGTCTGTACTACCTAGGGATAGCGGAGTTTCTGCCTGTACGTAAATTCTTCAAAAACCGAACCCACCATATATTAGATATTAGCATACCTTGCTAAGTTTGACGAAAGTTAAAACGCTGCTCCCAAGCAGTCGATTGAATGTGGAAAGGTCTCCGAATTTTTCTGGAAGGGAGTACGAAATAAACCGCATATACGAACATCTCACAACTTTGTCGTCGTCAACTCGGCTGTCCCGGAGAGTGGTCGTACTCCACGGCCTTGGAGGAATTGGAAAAACCGAGATTGCTCTTGCTTATGCTTTCAAGTACCGCCATGAGTACACTGCGGTCTTCTGGATTGATGCTACCAATAGCCAAACTGCAACGCTTGGGCTTTTACAGATAGTCCAAGGTCTCATCGATGCCAATATTACTGATGAGTATCTCGCGATTGATTGTGCAACGATTGCACGACGTCTAGGCATACCGGGTCTCGTACAGGAGGATGGGCTTTTGAATAGCAATTTGGGTGAAGTCGATAAAGAACGCGTTATCAAAGCAGCAAAGAGATTGGTCGAGACTGAGGAAAACAAAAATGTTCTTATTATTTATGATAACTACGATGATATCGAATCCTATGATCTTTCCCAGAATTTTCCCCTAATACAGGGAGCATTCTAATCACGAGCCGTAGAAAAGAAGCTGTCTATCCGCACGGGATGACCGTGGAGGTCGAAGGAATTGAAGAGAAAGACGGCATTAAACTTCTTTTAAGCACCTCGCAATACCTGGGGTTCTCTGGGTCATCGCCACGTATGTACTCACAGTCTGATTTTAAATTGAAATTTTCTTACTGTTGATAGAGGATTTTGAGAGCATTGAAGAAGTGAGGGAGATCGTCAATCTCCTCGAAAGGTTACCTCTAGCAATCGAGATTGCAGGGGCTTATATTTTGCGTACAAGATTGAATCCTCGCCAATTTCTCGAAACTTTGAAAGACCACAAAAGCAAAATTCTTCAAGAAATTCCTCGAGGTGCGCTTAAAAGATATGGAAAAGATGTGTATACATCTTGGGACATGTCTTTTAATGACCTAAAAGATAAAAATCCCAACGCTATTAAACGACTTCTTTTCTGTACCTTCATGCACCACGGCGAAATATCCCTAGCGTTCCTTAGACGTGGGTGCAGACAACTCTCATCAATCAAAAGCGAAGAGGAAGAAGAAACCCCTCCACCTCTCGAATGGCTGAAAAGCATTGTGGAAGATGCTGTTGAGTTTCAAAAAGCAACAGCGGATTTATTTTCTTATTCGTTGGCAAGGGCAAAGAATTTTAAACACTCGCGAGATAGTTTTGAGAAAGACGATGTCTTTTTTTCAATCCACCCTCTGGTTCATTTCTGGGCTCACGAGAAATTGGTAGACGAAGACAAAGTACAATAATTTATCTCCGGTGTTCTTCTTCTAGACTTCGCGCTTAGGCTGCCAAATACAACTAAGAGTATAATAGCAAAACGGAATGCTCTCCCACATCTAGAAACCTGTTTTCAAAACTTTAGTCATATGACGGTAGCGCGGCAGGTCTGTACTCACAACGGAGTGCTTAGGTCTTTAGTGGCTTTCGGGGGTATTTTTTATCAGCATAGAGATTACCTCAAGTCAGCGAAATTATTCGAATACACTGTCGATGCGTATGAGGAGATGCTCGGTCCAGACCATATTAAAACACTGGGAACGGTAGGTAGCCTGGCATTATTATACTCCGATCAAGGGCATGAGCGATATCCCGAGGCGGAAATGTTATACAAGCGGGCTCTTGCTGGGAAGGAGAAGGTGCTCGGTCCGGACCACAGTGATACACTGATAACGGTAAATAACCTGGCAAATCTATACTACAAACAAGGACGACATCCCGAAGCACATGCCCTCCGAACCAAATTCAATTTAAACTCAACGTAATTTCAAGCTTACCTCTCAGTAAGTATCTCCCGAGTCCTACTATCATATATAGTCAACTACTCCACCACATGAGATCAAGGACAACTAACAGCCAACGCAGTCCAGATAGATACGAATATACCCGTATCAGCAGTATAAAAGGGGCGTTAGCTGGAGTCCAAGACTCGCCAGTATTGCAGCTTTTATGTCTTGTCATTTCCTTTCTTGTTCGATATAAGTAGCTATATGTCTCGTACCGTCATTACGAGGAAGTACATGGCTGTGAGGTGCGAAATAATCTTTTGATATATTTCAAAAATAAATTAGCGATTTCATTGTAATGTATCGGTTATGGTGTAATGTCTTTTCTTTTGTGTATACTTCGGCTCGTTTTCAATATCAGTTGTATCGATCATTGGCGCGAGGTAGAGTCTCGGGAGGGCGGCAAGCTTGATATATCAAGAAAGAAAAAGAATGTAGGAGTTGGTGACCCAACTTGATAGGCAACAAAAGCTCTGAACAATCGACCCTGCGATCTGCAATCGCATGCTCTAACCCCTGAGCTACCAGAGCATGAAATCGAAGGCTTTATTACCACGTTACTAATTCAGAGTAAGGTAGATGCACCTACTTGACACTTGTAGCAGTTAGCGGTCTTGGCTTCCCCACCTTGGGCTGTTATTACGGATATTGGCGCTTTGGTTCGCAGTTGAGAATTTGAATCACCATATATCACTCGATACGGCGCTACCATAGGGCCCATCCCTAGACCCGAGCGTGTGCGGAAAGAGCAGGTGATACATATTCATAGGTAGAGAAACCTGGATCGGTTTCAGAATTCACACTCTTTGTATGGAGATCATCAATACACATATTAGAGCTTATAAGTTGATCACCTGTTAACATAATGGGACATGAGGTATACTAAGTACAATGTAGCTAACTATAATTCTTGTGGCCAGTAAACACTAGTCCTTCTACTCCTTAATCAATACGTGGTGGGTACAGCATCAGGGTGGCCAGGTATATAGCTGTATTTCTTTAAGTATATTGCAGACAGCAAGTAGTAGTTTTGCAATGCTGGGGCAATGGGGTGACCACGTGGAGAAACAATCGGACCGAGGGGAGCCATTGCTTCTTTGATTATTTTGACGAATTCTATACATACAAGTATCTTGGAAGAACTAATACGTATAAGAAGCCATGGTGAACCGGCGATATATATATCTAAGCCATAGCTCGCGGGTTGCGAAACGTTGTAGGAAGATATATGACCATAGGAGCAACTGGGTAACTACATATATGTAATTAACCAGCTGTGAGTGGCGAGCTTCTTTGTACATAGTCCATTGGTCAAAATCTCTCTCCTCCTCCACCGTCCTCACCACAAGATCCGGACAGCTTAATTCGTCCCTGTAGGTCCCCATAGGTTCCCAGATTATATGTCGGCCCAACGCAACCCACTTGGCCCGGAATTAAGACTTCGACCTGGCATCGATAGCAATGATAGTATATTCTAGCCATTGCGTGTTATCAACCCACTCTAGTGTGTGTGGCTCATGAGAGAAGCTTCCACTGCCTCATGGCTGATATAAAGCGTCTGCTGTGTTTCGTGCAATATAGCCAGCTAGGTAAGATATGGAGAGAAAATCTAGAAGGAAAACGGGTATACGTTAGATATAGCTAGATGCATAGAGCATTGCGCCCCGCGGTCGTGGTGGTGGTGGTAGTGGTGGTGGTCATGCCATCCTGACTGTTGGACGGGGGGAGGGGGGGAGCTTCATCCTGTCTTCCAGAAATCCAAATCCGATGCCACGGGGAAGATTTCTGTCTGTCTGGCCGCCTTCCTCCTCCGATACCTTGAATCGTTGTCTCGTCATCATCGGCTCGGATGCGCGCCGTGTCTACCGAATAGGATAGAACCCTGTCTATGTATCCGTTCCGTGTATCTAATCACGCCCGATATCCTTCCTCTGCCCCGATCATTGAAGTGTGCGCCTACACGGCCCAGGTCGCCGCGCAATATCATGCAGCTCATTCAAAGCCGCGCAGAAAAGAGCGGATGCTCTGGTGCCGGTGCCGGGAATCTGGAATTTGCTTTTAGCAGTACGGCCTCTGCCGGCCCCCGTGATCGTAGATCCGGCTGGGATGCCGGGTTGAGAGCTGTGTGTCGTATTCATCCCGCCCGGGCATATCTATATAATGTATACATGTAATTCATGTTTTCTAGCCTCGATACTAACGTATACGACGGTGGACTGAAGCAGTGGATAAAAATATGTAAATACGAAGCTCGATACCAGACACTACTCCTATGTGGTGTTGGGATCTATACATAAATACACACTGGCCGCCATACGGAATATGGGTCCACGTGGGGGCATGCGTAATGATCAACTTCAAGTTAGTAGAGTTCACAGCTCGAGCGGTAGAAGAGAAAAGACTAGAATTCTTTATACATACACTACTGTGTATTCTGCTAGGTCTAAATGTTTTGATGAACTACAATATGCGGCTATGGAGGTACATGTACTTGATAAACACGCCTACGAGATGTTCTTTAGCTAGCTAGCTTGGTCACCGTTGCTTCAATTGTGGAAACTTAGTGAAATGTTTTTTATAGGCTGATAGTGATTGGTATATTATAATATATTTCTCTCTTGCCACGAGACTACAGGACTCGCTGCACCTCCCACTTACAAAGCAGAAGACCTGATCTTTATCAATCAAGTCTAGCCTATTTCGTCTTGTGCCCGTTAGCAGGCTAAGTTACGAGTAATATCGAGCAAGTGTAGTAATATAATTCATAATTAAAGTTTACCGAAGGACATCATCCACCGCCGGCTGATCCTAGCTAGGAATTGAGAACCAAAGTGCCTTCCTTTGAATTTTGCCAGACATGACGTCTAGCCAGGTCGAGCGGAGCAGTACACATATCGGCGGGACGTACCTACGAGTCGGCCGGCACGGCATGCCCGTACGTAGTACCAACCAGCCGTTGCGGAGGCAATATATATAACCCCGCTATATATGAGTTTACTTCTCATGGGCTCGAGGGGGCCGCATCCTTGGATAATCTACGCAGATTAGTATTAGCGATCCGATTGACTTTTAAGTTCAAGATATATTCGATGCCATCCATGCATGGCCAGTATGGATTAGGCAATATATATCAGATACGGGCTGTTGTTGTTGTGTACCTATATGGAATTCTGCCGGCTGCTTATTTTCCCAAAAGCGTGCGTGGGGAATCAATTAATCGTAAACGGATAAGAGCAGCTGATCATTCATGTCAGACCCGGATCCGAATATGTATGTGTAAATGTACTTGGATAGAGTAGAGTACCTCTGTACCGATGTGCGGTATGTGGAAGAAGGAAAGTACGGTGGCCCTCACTTAAAGAAGGTTTTGTTACACAGCTGTGGTTTTGCGGGTGGGGATGGTGGTGATTACTGATTTCCGGTTGGAAGCCGCGATGCAAAGAGTGTTTAGAGTGTAAGTACAGTCGCACCTCGTTATGTCGTTAGCGTATTCTGGGAGCCAAACCCTACGAGATAGCAAGTATACGAGACAGCAAATAGTTTTTGGTGGAGAAGGGCAGTACCTGTCCCGCAAATCCGTACGAGACAGCAAGAGATCCGAGATATCGAATTACGAGATAGCGAGGTGCGACTGTACATGTATGCTTCCATCCCATCTCATCTCAAGTACTTCATACCGGGAAGCCGTATATTCCCCGAGCCGACTCTTGAGTGTTTGCGCCTACTCGTTTCACACACCCTCAGATTTGCATTTCTAGAAAGCCACCTCGCCTGCTCTCTGCCCAAACACAGAAATATTTCTTCAAACACAGCAATCCCCATCAATCTCATGGCTAATTACAACAGCATGGTGGTGGAGGTTTCTCTAGAGTAGCCTGACTCAGACTTGCTCAGTCAGCTGGCTACATACGCACAAATTTAGTTCCCGTATCCTGTAGGTACATTACCATACATACATCTCTCTCTTCCAGATATAGGCATGGTCGTATTCGGCAGGCAACATACACACATGTGTGTGCCTCCTGATATCTCGCCTATTCTACGTTCTGCGTGGTACAATACACTCTCCGTTTAAGCTTCTTTTGTTTTATGACAGCCGGCAAGGACTCCCGCAGCTCGGGTCTGTGCAACATAGGCACTCTAGAAGCTAGGGACCAACTGTTCGCAGCCCGGTATGGGGACTACTTAGACGTTGACTGAGACTTGGGCTGGCGGCGAGTCTGTACAGGGCTTCCTTAGTTGGTTGGGCACTCCCGTCTAGGAAGGATTGTCCCTGTCGCTGGTCCTATTCTTAGTGTGACTAGCTGAGGCGACAGGCCGTTAACGTGGGCGGGAGATGATCAACAGAAGATGTTTCGAAGCACATGTCGTAAGCATCAAGTATTGGGTGAATTACACTTGGGAATCATCGGAGACTACTTGGGATGAAAGGAGTCGACTGATGCTTCCTCATTCTCTTCTTA